TTTCAAACACAGCTATATATGTTCCTTTGAAGAGTGTATTTCTTTATTCCTAATAGCTAGTGTAAAGTAGTATTTCTGCAAAACGTTTACTCCTAGTATTAATTCGTCCGCTATGTTAGCGACGAAAGCCATGTTCTGGCAGGTCTCATTTCCGAAGGTAGTGGATGTCAATTTTAACTTCAGTCGGGATCTTATCACCTATCACTATCCGTAAATTCACACAGGAAGAGTCCGTCGCAGCATTTTGTTCCATTATCGAGCTATATCTGTTCCGACGATTATTAGCTTTGCACCTGTACCGATGATCATCTTATAAGGATGCTTATTCTCGTATCATTCGACGAATAGTCCGTTATCTCTGCTTATTGAAGAGATCTGGAGAAATTTCAAATGGGGCTACATTTCTGCGCGGCAATCTCACGGAGCGGCTGACAACATCCGTAAGATTGGCGCATTTGAATTTCTCTGGTTTCACAGTTCCTGCAGAGATGTCCTTCCAGTCCAAAATTCCAGCACTTGGTTGTGTTCTTTTCAATGTTGCTTATATTCGGCCTTCTTAACGCCTCCCGAATGTTTCTTTTTCTTTTTCCAAATAAGCGACATAAAAATTGGGTCTTCTATTGGAACCGCTCTAATCGGATGGCTATCTTTTCGAGTCGCTTGTAGAACCGGCTCGAACTTCATGGTGTAGACTAAGACGAAATTTAGGTCTCTCTAATCCGCCAATCTGACAGCCTTCTGAATTTCCGCAACCTTGCTGCATCGATGAAAAGCCTCAGGTCCATATTTGCGCTGACATCTGGTGGAAAGTCGCGATATGCTTGATGCGACAACCTCTCAATGTTAGTCGCCAGTTCTTGGAGGCTTTTTCCTAGCGAGTTTTCAACTGCGAACGATTACAAACTTTCACGCATTTTTTCCGCATCTCAGTTCCAGCGCATTCAAGAGCGCATTGAAATTTGAAATCTGGTCTTCTGATAGGACTTCTGCCAGCATCGAAAACTGGATCTTATATACACTCCATGATGATTTTCCATCCTATGTGCTTCGTTTGATTACGGTATGAAAAGAGACTAGGAGCTACGTAAAATCTTCAGGTTCGTTCTTATACTCAGTCCGTTTTTCTTTCAAAATATCTTTCCGGAACTTTCTCAATTTTTCTTCAAATTTTTCTTCCATATCTGCTATTTTGGCTCCAGTTTCCTCTAACCTTTCCTTCATTTTCTATTTTATGTCTTTAAATTTAGCTTCGTTTTCCTCTTTAAGATCTACAATATCGCTTCTAATCTTGCTTTGATTTACTTCCATTCTGTTGGAATATCTCTTACGGCTTTTCTCGTCCAGCTTTTATTTCTTTTTGACGCGATTTTATTGGCTCTTCATCTTCTCGTGTCTGGCTTTCATCTCCTCTTCCCCGGCTTTGATATCTTCTTGTAAAATTTTTACAGCTGCTAACAAGTCCATCAACGTCTTCATTCCCTGCGCGATAGCTTTTCCCTCTAGGCGGCTCACTGGCATTCACTCACAAATCCCACTTCTGACATCAGTTGTCGCGTTATATGGGTTCATAGATTTGGGGTAATTGATGATAACATTCGATGAAGAATCACAACACAATTTATTCGACAGTAATACACATTACAGACACGTTTAGAGTCATCTAGAAAAACCTACGATGAACACGTTGAAACAATCCGCAACACAGCCTTCAGGCTATAACGTTAAAGACAGCTTCATGGCAAAGCACTAAATTACGACTCCCAACTTAGTCGATCGCGCTCAAGCTAATCTCTGAACTCGAGACACTACTACATTACAGAGTTCAAGATACTACTACTCCGCGTACAAGCAAGGTATATATAGCTTTAAACTACTTTGGACAATATTCTCGGAAAAATGTCTCGAAATGGGTGATTTCGCGCTAAATCTGGCAACTCTACCCTTTCTTATCACTTTCTGGCAACCCTAACCCCGCTTTGCGTATCAACTCTCTTACCGCAGCCTGTATATATGTGCAGCCTATATTTCCTTCTATTTTGTAATCATCTGTGATAAGACGATAGAGATCCTAATAACTTGGTGGTAATGTGATATGTGAGCACTTACAGAGCTTGTCGACAATCTAGATAAGAGTTTCCGGGTTTTCCCTAATTGGCTGCACTGAAGTTCAGCCAATTTAATTCTTTGCAAAGGCATTGTTGTTGATATTAAGTTGTGATATTTAGGCTGTAAAAGCTTCGATTTGTGCTTAGATACGCAAAGATATAATTCCTATTAAAATTTCGTTGCGGAGGTAGAAGTACTTTTTGTGGTTTTGATATATTGTTCAGAAAATGTCGCTGAATTCTATTAATGAGCAGTCTTCACTTCTCTTATAGGAATAGCTTAAGGCTGATGCTACATATGTGTCTATTTTTTCTATTGCGTTACTATACATAAGTTTACGAATTTTGGACTTATATTGGAACCCTGCATTCTACGAAATCTTGGGGCAGTGAGACAAGTTTCTCTTCTCAGCTCATCAAGGTGAGAAACCCATTAAAATTTGTTGTCGAATAATACACCTAAGTACTTAATTTCATTATGAATTTATATAATTTTTCATTCGTTTTAAGGATTACGAGTGACCGTTTGACGCGGTCTTTGGAATATATCTGTCGAAGATTTTTCTTCAGAAATTATTAATTTTAATTCTCTGCAAAGAATGCTGAAGATATTTATGGTTTCTTAGTTACTGGTTTGCAGAATGCCACAGTTTCAGCCACCGTCAAGAAATGCAATATCATTCCCGAATGCAATTGCTCTTGAGAGAGATGGCCGTATGAGGATACAATGGAATTAAAAGCTAAATTCGAAAGCCCTGCAATCATGCATGAGCTTTTAGAGCATCTCTTTGTTGCTGTCGTTTAATGAAGGTGTTGATCTAATGAATGAATTAGCTCTACTTTTGAAATATTTAATTAGATGGAATAAGCTTTGACATTCCTGAGTATTTCTGGAGCACTCTGCGACCACAGCGAGTCAAAAGTATCCACAGTGAGTAGAGCACTGTAGAGTGGAGTTATGTTCTTTATAAAAGGTCATTCGCACTGGGCTTTATATGAGCTAACGGAGTCAGTTCCATGAGTCGACTAGCTCCGCTATAAGTGTAGTTCACATTTTTCAACTCACTCCGCTATGAGAAAAAACTGTTTTTGGAGTGCCTCGGCTATGTCATATATTTCCGTTATCTCAGATAAACCCCAGTGCGAACGTCCCTTAACAGTATCCTTGAGAAGATGAATGCGTGCAGGGTGGAGTATCTTGTGCAAAAGCTGAGCTGAATTCATTCGAGCTAATAGGAGCACATGGCAGATCTGCTGGACGTCTTATCTAATTTTTAGTTATTTCTTACCTGAAGCATGTTTCTGTGCCTTAAATGTATATAAAATATAGACAATTTTAATATAAGCATAAGAACTATTTTTTATTAGGATGCGACGTGCACTTTTTTTATTTACTGACACATTTAGTTCTCTTTTGTCTTGTCCCAATGCTCCCTGACACCAGACGCTTACGCTAATTAGATGGAATAAGCTTTGACATTCCTGAGTATTTCTGGAGCACTCTGCGACCACAGCGAGTCAAAAGTATCCACAGTGAGTAGAGCACTGTAGAGTGGAGTTATGTTCTTTATAAAAGGTCATTCGCACTGGGCTTTATATGAGCTAACGGAGTCAGTTCCATGAGTCGACTAGCTCCGCTATAAGTGTAGTTCACATTTTTCAACTCACTCCGCTATGAGAAAAAACTGTTTTTGGAGTGCCTCGGCTATGTCATATATTTCCGTTATCTCAGATAAACCCCAGTGCGAACGTCCCTTAACAGTATCCTTGAGAAGATGAATGCGTGCAGGGTGGAGTATCTTGTGCAAAAGCTGAGCTGAATTCATTCGAGCTAATAGGAGCACATGGCAGATCTGCTGGACGTCTTATCTAATTTTTAGTTATTTCTTACCTGAAGCATGTTTCTGTGCCTTAAATGTATATAAAATATAGACAATTTTAATATAAGCATAAGAACTATTTTTTATTAGGATGCGACGTGCACTTTTTTTATTTACTGACACATTTAGTTCTCTTTTGTCTTGTCCCAATGCTCCCTGACACCAGACGCTTACGCAAATATGAGGACAAGTGACATGGTTTTAAACTAGGATATGTTCTTAACATCGCATTATTTAAATAAAGTTTACAGCAAAATTAAAAATTAGATTTGAAATGAAAAATGGAAACGATATTAAAAAGATTTTAAAGAGTAATTGTATATTTTATTTTATAATGTTTAGCAGAATGATTCTTCCTGTAACAATAACCAAAAGTATCTTTCATTTCGATTTTCATTAATGATAATAAAGTTTAACAGATTGAAACACAGTGGCTGTTTATGATACAGTGAGAGCCGAAAAGTAATTATCTTACTAACTTACATAAATGTATCGTAATAGCAAATACTTCTATTTATCAGCTCTAGAGTAGTAATTTATTTCTACATTCAAATTTCTAATTACGATATAAACTGCATTCGATAGGTTAGTCTTTTGAAATGGCTGCGCTCTGTTTCTAATATACGAGAGTATGCTGTAGCTCTTTTATTTTTATTCTCCGTTCAAAGCACTGGATGTTTTTGTTTGTATTGTTGGCCCTGATATGAACGAGCAAATACAATGTAAATCAAAGAATTATAAAGTTCTGCTAAATTTCTAAGTTTATTTTATGCTTTTTTAATACATATATATCTTTATTAATATCTATATCTCTCTATCTATTGATCAATATCTCTCTATCTATCAATCAATCTATTTGTTAGTCGAATGTTAATAAAATTTCGTCCCCTACCTATGCTAACATATGTTGGCTACACAGTACAGGACTTATAGCTGTGTGATATTTTTCCGTGATTTCCAGCACGAAATCTTGCAGTTTAATGCAGAGAAATGAAATTAGCAATGAAACAGTATATTTGATTTAAAATTTTTATTTTTATTTAATTAAAGTTTACTTCAAAGATATCCAATATTATATTGAAATTTTACAGAATATGTGAAATCATCCTTTGATGTTTCTTGATGTTGAACAAGTCTTTTACAAGGCCGGGTATTCACAAATTTACACATTCTTTTCTACTGTAGTATTCTACAATTAAGGCTTCAGAACATTCCTAGTAAAGAAAAGAAAAATTCAATTCCATTTTGGTTATAAATCAAATTTTTTTCAATGCAAGATGAGCCCATAAAATATAAACATTTAGAAAATTTAATTTATTACACGGCCCTTGAAATGATTCATAACGCAGGAAATATTTTAAAATTATTGTGAAGTTAAAAAATAACTTTTCCTGTTGTACACCAAATTTGTGAGTATTAGCAATTTAACAAACATACGCTCTATTTTAAATTTCATTAAATTTCAATTGCAAACTTTATTTATTTATTTGTGACTTTATCAAACTTTTTTATGACAACCTTTATTTGTTTATGACTTTATAATGCAGTTGAAACAGAGCATGGGCACCCAGCATACATCAGAGGTTACTAGCTATGTAACGAATGATGCAGATATCAAGTATCATTCCTGCTTTGGTGACAGTAGCGTAATAAGTAGTTACTTAAGCTTTCGTTGCCTGTTACCAACCACAGTAGAGTTCCTTATGAAACGATTTCATGTACTACTGCACCGAACAACCATACTTTTCAATGAATAGCAATACTAAAACAATGCTTGCCTTACTGAGGTTAAAAATCTTGACCTACTAGAATGGAACCAAACTCTAAAAAACACCATAAATTCAAAACAGCACATCTTTGCTCTAAGAAATCAGGAGTAGTTGTCCCAAGACAACAAATTCACACATCAGGTCACATTCATAGACTAGCGTGAACAGCACATTCTGTCTAGTATATAGATAGGTTTCGAATTTGATTACTGGATAAGATGTGGATGTTTAGATCTGAAGGTTCTCTCAAGAGATTAATGAGCGAAGAACTTCTTAACTCATTTCCCATGGGATGGAAATAACCACATAAGCTTTGTATTCAGGTCGTCTCTTATATCATGAATGCAAATGAAGTCTGTGTTTCCAAGACTTTCGTATCTTTAGTGAAAATGTAATACCTTACGTCCAAGTGTACTTCTAATATACGTAATTTTATAAAATAAGAGACCATTTCGATCCAATAAATAACTATACAAAATGTTGCAAAATGAGGATTACCTGAATATTTACATTAATAAATCGAAATACTAAGACGATTAAAACAGCGATAAAAATTAACTATCAGTCTAGAAGATTATGAAATAAGATCCGCAATAATAAACAGAGGACTTAATTTCTGAAAACCTGGATAATTATCCCGATTTCTGGAAAAATCAAATAAATAATCTTTTGTCATCTTCTTATAATATGTGAAAATCCCAAAGTAAGCTATAGCCACAATTACCAAGTTTTGCGCTGCATTTCGTTTTTAATATTAAATAAATTAAAATTGTGGAAAACAAAAATTTACTGGAATGACACATTAGTAATATTAAATTTCGTAGTTGCAGAAGCCATAGATCCTCGAACTATACCCAGATTTCCAAATTAAAACGTCTACTAGTTCTCATACCTTTTTTCTTACGTTCATATTCTAACTCAGTGTAATTTCAGGGAATTTTAAGCTATATTAATGATAGTCGCTTCACGGGCTGAATGAGATAATTAACTATTTTCAAGAAATAGGACAACTTGGTAGAGATGAATATTTTACTTAACATCTTTTTTAAAAATTCAGAAACAAGAATGCAGATTCTCCTTTAAGATAAACTATATATTACCTTTACACTCTCGTTAAGGCATTTGTAAATTTGCGACAATGGTATGTATTTACAATGTTCGATATTTTCAGTTTAAGTCATTAGACTTACATTTTTAATTTGAATAAATTTAAAGTACTGAGCATTTACTATAACTTTTTATAGAAATTTAAGACCAATTTCTTCCCATGATCTTAAGCTGAAATCCGATCTCTTTCAATAACAAACTGAGCCTCTCACTCAGTCGGAATGTATATAATATAGTACGTGCTTCAAACTGAAACGAATTGTCGTTTTAAAAGCACTTAGTCCATAAAACACTAATACCAATGAGTTTCTAAGCCATAGGCAAAGTCTGGTATCAAAGTTGTATTTGACAGAGAACTACTCTAAGTAACTCAAATGTGTGACAGTAATCTTTCTTGGTTAATGACAGGTAAATGTTTGCGGTTCAAATAAATTCGGAAGCCTTTTGAAGTATAGAAGTATCTGTTGTCACCGTCACATTGAACCAGAACCAGAAATGGTTTAAAGCGAAGAGGAGATACTCTGAAAATAACCGCTTCTATAGACACCAGCGAATATCACGAAACTCTTTCCTTTAAAAATTGGCGCGACTAATCACCGAATATGAACTTGGTCGAGAACAACCCTACGATTATATAAGAATTCGATCCAAGAAGGAAATACATAAATCAGCTACCTCTTAGAAAATGCAGCGGGAATATCGCCAACGTTATACTTTTAAAGGTACTGATTTTTTCGATGAGTTGCCTAGCTCAAGATAACATTTAAATTATCTTGCCGTAGTTTTCTGTATCAAATTATTAAACATACATCATACTGGAGAAGAACGTGCCTTACGTATTATTGACTTTAAGGGGGTAATCAAAGCTACAGACCCATTATGTGCAGCTACAAATCAGAAGATAGGAGGGTTAGATAAAAAAGAAGTGACATGTCTATAGTTCAGAAAAGATTTTATTACCATAGAAACGCATGCTTACAATTCTCAGTGTAATCGCCTAAAATATTTACCATCTTCTTCCAAGTGACTGAAAGGTGTGGTATACCATCAACACGTTTATTTATGCAGATTTAGTACCGCGACAGCTCAGCTTTATAGCATGGATACTTTCCACACTACTGTTTAAAGGATCTTTCTCGGTGGTTCTTTTTGTCAAAGATATCATAATCATGCGATTAATGTTGGAGGAGTATATTCCTGCCGAAGATAGCTCGAACGTATTTAATGAAACTTAACTTCAGTAAGTGGACTGTAATATTAACAATATCAATTTATTTTAACAAAAACATCATTATTGAATGCTAGCACACGCATGTGCTTATAGTTACCTATGTAACTTAGCTAAGAGCGAGCAACCATATGCTCCTACATCAAGTCAAAAATCATACATACTAATAAGGCAAAAACGAAATAACTTTAGGGTTACAATAAAGCCAAACTCTGCTTGGCGTAAAACAATGCTGCCAAGCAATACTCTTTCAGACACCTAATAGAGTATGACTGGTGTCCCAGTATCTCTCATTGCCATTCTCACAGGAGATCGATGACAGTTCTAGCATTACGACACCGCATTTTACCATTGAGGAAGACACAATCTACATGTGAACAATCTGCGTCCTGCACTCAGGAGAAAGCGACGATATTTCTTGGTGACGGTTCCCATTATCTTTATGGGGATGTGAGGCATCGGAATATCATCCCAAAAATGCCACTGCCTTCTTCTGAGTGCTGAACGCAGAATATTTCAAGTGACGAATCTCCTCATTCTTCACGATACTGCTTCCTAAATTAATGTGAGCGCTATCAGAAAGCACCTGCCAAGGTGAAAATAAAAGGTAGCGGAACACCGACCATAGGTCTATGATCAGTTCGCCAAAATGAAAGAGCCATGGAAAAAGTATCCATTATAAGAGTAGAAATTATCTACCCTCAAGAGAGGATACTTCGAGGCATGAATAGAAATGGACGGGCTGATGGTGTAATAAGCTTTGCAATCACTTGCCTGAAGATGGTAGACAAGTCATGTGGTTATATTGAGGTATAAAAAGTGGATAAACCTATGGAAATAAATGTCTTTCCAGAATTATCAATCTTTTGCCACTACTGTTTATTCAAACTTGTGTTTTGAGAAGTTAGTACCATGCATTATCAAATTTATATTAATTCAGAACTCGTACTAAATGACAGAAATGAGCATGTGTAAAAGCGCAGTTCCGAGGTGCTATCGTTCTAAAAAGTTATCATATTCATTCCCAAATGCTGCCAATTCAAAATAGAAGTGTAATTTCAAAGTAGAAGATGGAGTTGGCTGTAAAGAAGCTCGGTCCATAACGCTGAACTAGAATTTGGGAAATAGAGGTCAGCGACTACGATAGATGAGATGTGAGTATTTCTTTCCACTCCAAAATTTCTCAGGTTCGACTTTTGGTTCAATCAAAAATTTAAAAAGAAATACGACACAGCTGTAATATAGAAGAGATTGTACAGGAATGTCTGAAAATCAATATACGTACTTTTACTAAAGTCCACCTCTTGCATAAATCTTGCTTGAGAGGGTTGTAACAGTAATCCTAAAGAAAAGAATACTACAGTAATTAACAAATAATAGTACAGCAAAGCTTGTTGTAACTTATCGAAAACATTTCCACGTGGCTTAAGGAGAAATCGTTTGAATTTATTAGAAATCGATTAATAAATAAGCAAAGGCAAAAAAGATAATGTTTATTAGAAAATTTACTTGCACAGCCGGGGTACAACGTATTTCGGTGGGTGTCTGGAACGCAATCACGGTCTTTTGAATTCAATCGTTACAGATATTTCTTAAAACATTTATTTATATAGCCGTTAAAATTTTTTTCTGTGGATGTCTGGATTGTGGCATACGGCCTCTTGGCTTCAATCGTTATAGATGCTTATTATAAAATTTATTTGCGCAGCCGTTAAAATTGTGTTTGTGGCTGTCTGGATTGTGGTGCAAGGTCTTTTGGCTTGAACCGTTATTGAATTTATTATAAAAGGTATTCGCAAAACTGTTCAGTACCGCCACGGCACTGAATTATTAAAGTAAGCTCAAAGGTTAGGACTTATCATAAGGAAACTTATTTTAAGACTTCTAATTTAAACTCATAATACATATTTAGACCCATTTCACAAAAATTCAAATTTAAGACCGTAGTTAAGGAGAAAAGTACATTGTGTTATCATTACCGAGATCGTGCCTTGGAGAATGATCATGTTAAGAAATACAAATAATAAGCAGAGCATTGAACCAATTAATCTATTTTATTCAATTTTGGACTTAAGTTCTAGGTTAATTAATAAGTTACAAAAATGAGTAAAAGTACATATATTGAGAAAACATCATATTTTTCATAAGTAAGGGGTACCCCAAAAATACCTAGTGTTTTATCCTGGCACAGAAACCGTCCTTTACATTTTTATCTAGCATTATCATTTCATCACAATGAATAAGGTTTCTTAAGGATCCACTCATACCTTACTGATATTTTCAATAACAGACCATCAGCTAATTTATTTTCATTAATACCGACATCAGGAAAAGGAAACAGAAGAAAATCTATCTGCCGATTCATTCGAAGCCCTTTTACATTTAATCAGATTAACTTTAAATTAAGAATATTAAGAAAAGGTTAGACTAACCAAAATATATAGAAAGAAAAAAGACTTATCTAGATGAAGCAAGCTAGACGACGACACTCAGCTCGAGGACGGGAACCTCACAACAGCACGCTTATGTCGCTATTCGCTAAAACTATTTGGCTTACAACATTTATAATAAACATATTTCTTATAATAATAACTATATTTCTTAATTTAATACCTCATTCTAAACCAGTGTTTCTTTCACTATGCCCCACCTAATCCACTCTACAATTCTTATGCCCCCATAGCACATACATAATTTTTAATATTCAAAAATTGAAATAGTCACAAAAAGAAACTTTAATGATAGGTTTTAGGAAGAAATTCCTAAGCATTTCATCAATGAATATAGCGAAAATTCTTTATAGTAAAATATTTAAAAAGCGCCGCCATTTAAAAATATTTTTGCGTATGCATACGCAAAAATTAGTCTTTAATGGGAATAGAAATCGAAATTTCGAAAAATTTAAACTTCTTGAAGATAATTTGGAAATTTGAACGTCCTTTGTCACATTAAACTCTGGACGAGTCCATTTTCGAATTGCCCCCTTAACAATCGAACTTCCCACCTGCGTGGCATGGGCCCCGCGTTGGAAAACACTGTTCTAAACAGAAATATTTTTTAAAAAAATTATTTGGCTTGGAATATTTTTTGCTGGCTTTGGTTATTGGCTTGGAATACTGTTCTCAGGACTCCATTTCTCTTTTCCTTCATTGCGTTTCTTCCACAAAAAGAGCTAAATTATTTTGATAATTGGATGAAAGAAAAACCCTTTTAGTACTATATTTATAGGACGTTTATTTACCTATGTGAATATTCTGTTAAATAACAAAAATTTTCGTTTTGAACTAAAATCTTTCGAAAATTAACACAATCATAGTTCCAAATTAGTTCCAAATTGTTACTTAATCTGTAATACTGAATGAATAGTTATAGTTAACTCTCTTTCATCATTATTCCTCCATTGAGAAATTACAATTTTATAACATTTTTTAAGGTATAAATTTAAATTAGCTCTCTTACACTGCACAGTTTCAATAGATTTAAATAATTATACTAAGGTAAAAATATCGTATACTTTGTTTCATTTTTGATTAATGTGAATCTGTTGTTTTAAATATTTATGCATTTCCTAAACGCATTTTTCTGTACTCGTAACAATTAGAGTAACAATTTAATATAGTTTTACACAGTTTATTATGCAAAATCATAACAAATTTGCATGAATTATTAATTCCACTTCATAAAACCATTATTGCTATCAAAGCTCTTTTATGGAAAATCTGTATTACTCACTTTTGAGAATATATACTACACTATAACCTTCACAGCAATACTTAAATACTGTTAGTAGCTCATACGGTAAACTGAATAAAGGTCAGCTGTTTATGTGTAACTTCACAAATTCTTTTATTTAATTAACACATATGGGGAGTAAACACTTATTGCATACTGACATGAATGATAGCTTCAAAAATTAATGTACAATAAATGAAGATAAATTTTAAAATTATTATTAAGAACGAAGCGATTATCGCCAACAAAAATACTAGAGATGCATGAACTTAAGCACGAAGAAAATCAATGATGATTCTTTGCTTGCTATAGTTTTCTGCAAATATAGAAAAAAATCAGTACCATGTTTTAACTTGAGTATTTGGAATTATTTTACTATGATTTTACAGATCAATGTTTAGGATTTGGAAAGTATGTTTTAAGATAATGATGAGGTAACTTGAGATACACGCATTCTTGCTATTCTTCTCGTTTAACATAAGCATGATTTAGTTTTTCGAATTGATTTAAATAAGATTAAGGTATTATATTTCACAATGTATACTTTTAAAATATTGTTAATTTAATTTGAATTAATCTGTACAGCACAGTGCTGTACCGTTTTTAAGTGAATCAGGCACATTAAAGTATTTCATTTTTCTTTAAACTGGACTTTCTTTAAAGCTTTCATTTCAATTCTTTATTGAAATCAAAAATGATTTCAAACTGTTAAGATATCATAAAGGCTCAATACATATTTTAGTAATGATTTTATTGTTTTTTAACTAGACGGGAAATAAAGAAACAGTTGCCTTAGTACACTTTTAATTAAAGAGAAATAGATTAGTTGATTTCTTGGATATAAAAAAATAGTTTTTTTTAAATTTACTTTTGGCACAGTAAGTATGAAAACACGTTTCTGCCTTTCATTTTAGAATCTACTCAATTAAAATTAAATTTCAGTTATTAAGTTCAAATTGAAATTGGCTGTATTTAAGAAAATAAAAGTAATTCCACTACTTAATTTTGTAGGAATAAATTTACAACGTTTGTTAAAATTAAAAAATAACGAAAGCATAAAACTCCGCCTCTTACATTAAAATAAATATTTGTTCGTCCTACAGTATAATTCAGCGCAATTATACGGAGTTTTCAGAGCCTTCGATTCACTCTCCAGGAATTAGATTTCTGTTATCAAATTTCCATATAAATTTATTTGTTTATTTAAATGCGGGAAAAACTGAGGTCTGACCCAATAAAAAGATTTCCATGAAGTTATATTTTACCTTAAAATAAGTTTTCTTCCCCTGTATGACAAAGACTTTAATAAATCAGTGTTTTATAATATGCGAATTTCCAAGTTATCACAATGAAATTTTAAAATTCCTTTGTGAAAGATGCCTTTTTAATTTTTTAAGCTATTTAAATAGGATTGCAAAAATTAGTATCTTTTCAATGTTTGCGTTTTGCAGGTGATACGTTAAAGCAAAATTAGATATAATTAGATTAGGTAATTAAATTAGACGTAATTAGAGGGTTAGATATAATTTTAAAGTTTCTAATAACAAAAAAAAATCTTGTTTACAGAAGTGAAATATATTAATTTAAATTAAAATAACTATTTAAAATAAAATTTATCCGTGAAGCTTAAATATACATTTCGATTTATAGTAATTTTCATTACATTTATAAAATTCTCCGCAATAGGTTTAATTTTCTTAAAATACGATTTGAAATTCTGTTACTTTATAAAATGAAGTAACTGGTGCTTTTAAGACAAATTAATATTAATTTATAGTCTTTTGTCACAAATGAAATTTAACTTCTTTCATATACAAATAACGAAGACATGCAATTTCCATATTTTTATACCATTATCGTTTAAATAATTTATATAACTATTTAAAAAATTAACACCATAAATATATTCTCTATATCTCTGAAGTAACAAATACGTTTGCATAGTTGGTTTTCATGTTTTTCGTAATATGTGAAGTGAATACGAGCTAGTTTTCCTTAGAAAGTCCTCCACAAAAGCATCTCTTGTCTTAGGTAGGCAGTCCTCGTGTGTTTTGCCGTATTCACATAATTGAGCCTAAACTAAAAATATTTTTTTCTCTAACTAAATCTCTTAATAATAACTAAATCTCTTACTTTAACAACACAACTTAAATATATTATACATAAAAGTGTGACGTAATTTACGAAAAGAAAAGATTTAATATAATAAATTTTAAAAATAATCCCAGAAAATTACATATAGGAAACGTAGAAAAGTTCAGTGTTTGAAAGTAATACGCCGTTTGTTAAGTTACAATAATTAAAAAACGTATTCTGTATAACTAGAACGTGGTTATGGAAATGTGGCCGGTCGCGGACAAAAAAGAACATTTAACCGACACGGACACTTAGTCGACACGGACGGTTAGCCGACAGGACATTTTGCTGACACAGAGAGTTAGCCGTCAAGACATTTAACTACGGGACACTTAACTATCAACACGTTTAGTCGACAGGACACAAAGCCGACAGTAACGTTTAGCTAGCACATACCCAATAATTATTCAAACTTACTATCAATTACAAATTTCTCGACTTCTCCGTAAGTTCAATATTTAAGTTATTTTTTCA